GAGCCGTGCGGAGGGAGGAAGAGGGCTTGGCCTGAGCTGCCCCGGCCACAGTTTGTAGGTGTGGAGGGCTTCATCACTGGCCTCCTCGACCTCCTCCCGGCCTCCTACTACTTCCGTTTCCAAAGAGAGGTCTCCGTGGCCCTCTGCTGCGCCCTCTGCTTTGTCATCGACCTCTCCATGGTGACCGACGTGAGTGGGGCAGGGCGGGGCAGGCGGCCTCTGGCCTCCAGCTACCGCCCTCCCTGACCTGGCTCCGTCCCCCAGGGCGGGATGTACGTCTTCCAGCTGTTCGACTACTACTCGGCCAGCGGCACCACCCTGCTCTGGCAGGCCTTTTGGGAGTGCGTGGTGGTGGCTTGGGTGTACGGTAGGTCTGGGTCGAGCGCAGGGCAGGGCAGGGCAGGGCAGGGCAGGGCAGGACGATGGGTCTGCAGCTGGGCCCTCCCACCTGCCTCCACACAGGCGCCGACCGCTTCATGGACGACATCGCCTGCATGATCGGGTACCGACCTTGCCCCTGGATGAAATGGTGCTGGTCCTTCTTCACGCCGCTGGTCTGCATGGTAAGGCTAGGGGAGGCCGGGCAGGGCGCGGCGGCGCAGAGGCCCGCTCACCACCGGGGCTCTCGTCCACAGGGCATCTTCGTGTTCAACGTGGTGTACTACGAGCCGCTGGTCTACAACAACACCTACGTGTACCCGTGGTGGGGGGAGGCCATGGGCTGGGCCTTTGCGCTCTCCTCCATGCTGTGCGTGCCCCTCCACCTCCTGGGCTGCCTCCTCAGGGCCAAGGGCACCATGGCCGAGGTGAGGCCCCTGCCCCCTCGCCCGCACGGGATGCTCTCGGGCGGTGGCAGGGCAAACGAGGGGTGGGGGGCCGTCCCTAGCTTCCGCGCCTCCTGCTGCACCTGGGGAAGAGCGGCCCCGGCTCAGCGGAGGTGGTGGCGGCAACCGGCAGCCGGAGGGCAGAGGAAGTTGCAGTGGGATGAGCGAGTGCCCCGGGGGCTCAACGCGTCCTTCTCTCCTGCAGCGCTGGCAGCACCTGACTCAGCCTGTCTGGGGCCTCCACCACTTGGAGTACCGAGCTCAGGATGCGGACGTCAGGGGCCTGACCACCCTGACCCCAGTGTCCGAGAGCAGCAAGGTGGTCGTGGTGGAGAGTGTCATGTGACGCGCAGCCCAGCTCACATCACCAGCTCACCTCTGGTAGCCATAGCAGCCCCCTGCTTTAGTCCCCACCCACCCCTCCAGGGGAGCTCGCCTTCCCCTGACACTTTTGGGGTCTGCCTGGGGGAAGAGGGGAGGAAGCACCATGTGTGCTAACTAAAATAACTTTTTCCATTTTTAATAAAACGCCAAAAATACCACAACCCACCAAAAATAGATGCCTCTCCTCCCCCAGCCCTAGCCAAGCTGTTCCCAGACCCCGCCTACTGCCCCTCCCCCAAGCGCCGCAGACCCATCTCCTCCTGTCCCTGCCATGCCCACCCCTGCCCACTTCTCCAGGCTCTGCTCTGTAACACACCCTTGGGTGGCCCCTCACCCCAGATGCAGCAGTGGCAGTTTGGGAACCGAAAGGGGGGAGGGGAGGAGAAGGGAGGCGAGGGAGGGCAGCGGAATCAGGGCAAATATTCCAGCTGGGCTAGACCCTTCTCCCCATCCCTATTCTAGAAGCTTAGAGAGCCAGCCAGCAATGGAACCTTCTGGTTCCTGCGCCAATTGCCACCAATATCAATTGTGTGAGCTTGGGTACGAGTGCATGTGTGCGTGAGTTACGTAGAATATATATAGATCTCTATCTCTTAGCAAAGGTGAATACCAGATGTAAATGGTGCCTCTTGGCAAAGGAGGCTTGTATTTTGCACATTTTATAAAAACTTGAGGAGAGAGTGAGATTTCTGCTTGTATATTTCTAAAAAGAGAAAAGAGCCCAAACCACCCTCTCCTTAGCACTCCCATCCCCATCAGCGCCTCCTTACCCTTCTGCCCCCAGCCAAGGAGTGTGAATTTATAGATCTAATTTTCATAGGCAAAACAAAAGCTTCAAGCTGTCGAGTGTGCGAGTCTGTTGTATGGATATGCGTGTGGTCCCCAGCCCCAGACTGGGGTGGAAAAGTGCATGGTGGGGACCTCTGGGGTGTCCCCACGATGCCCCTTCGCCCACAAGCCTGTGGGGGAGAGGCTGCCATCCTCTGTCCCGAGCCCCTGGGGCTGCTCGCGGGCAGGCTCAGGCTCGCCCACACCCTGCTCCCTGGGCCGGCACAACCCCGGGACGGGATCCCGGGCACGGCTCCCACCTCCGAGCTTAGGGCCGACGCACTTTCTACATCTCGAGTCTCGAGTCTCCCTACGTGTAGCAGCTTTAACCCCCGCACGTCTGTGTCCGTCAAGCCCTGAGCCGGCCGAGTGGCCCCTGAAAGGCTGCCCCCACCCAGGACAGAGGCTGGAGGGGTGGGGCCGGGGAGGGCGGCGGGCCTGCGGGGACATTCGTACTGTGCTCAAAAAGCCACTGCAAACATAGCAATAAAAACTTGTCATTTTCCAGAGTTGTCTCCTGCTTCTGCCTCTGCTGCTCCGGGAGGGGTGGGGGGCGCGGGGGCGACTCCGCAGCTGGAGCTGCTGCAGTGGGCAAGGGTTCCGAGGGCCTCTGCGCCTCCCTCTGCTGCAGGACCTGGGGAGGGGGAGGGGAAGGCAGCGGACAGCTGACATGCCTTGGGGGGTAAGAAGGTGAGTGAGCTGAGGAGCAATGCAGGCAGGAAAGGTGGGTGTGAAGCTGTGCACCCTCCAACTTTCAGAAGGTGGTCCCAAGGTTCCATCACTGAAGTAGATGAAGGAGCAGCCAGGGCCAGGCAGATGCTGGAGGAGGCCAGGCTGGTGGCAGCAGAGGGGATCAGGGAGGTGTCCTGAAGGTGGAGCCAACATGAGTGGCAGCTGACTAGGGTGCAGGCTTTTGAAGGACAACTTGAGAATGCAGACATCTGGCCTGTGCGACAGGAAGGATGGCGTTGCTGGGCCCCGCGTCGGGCAGGCAGGAGGGGATGACCTGGAGTCAGCTTTGGGTGTGTCATGCAGGAAGTGGCGTCCAAATGGAGATGTCTAGTTGGCAAGTGGACACAGGAGTCTGGAGTTCCGGAAAGAGTCTGGACTGGAGTTAGAGCTCTGCAAGTTCTCACCACATACAGATGACACAAAGTCCCGCAGCATGAGCTCCCCAGCGAGGCTGTGAGTGGGCACGAGGGGGACGACGGCCCGAGCACTGAGCCCTGAACCTGTGACACTCAGAGGTGGCAGAGGAGGCAGAGCCAGCAGAGGGGTGGGGGTGGGAAGAAACCCAAGAGAGCCCAGCCGGGGGGAGTCCTGCAACCTGACTGAGGACCCCTCAGGGTGGGGGGCGTGGTCTGCCCTGTCGGGCACTGCTGCTGCTCCGGGATGGTGACTTCATGGAATGCCCGCTGGGCCAGGCAGCGAGGTCATGGAGACGGAGATCATGAGGAACGGGGAGGAGGGGCTTGGGTCGAAGAGTGCATACAAAAGCCTGACTGGAGTAGAATTCAGAAAGCAGCAGCGGAAGCCACCCAAGTGTCCATCAACAGATGAGTGAATGAACAAAATGTCAGTCTAGACCTGGAATATTATTCAGCCTTAAAAAGGAAATCTGACACATGACACAACACGGATGACCTTGAAAACATTTGTGAAATGAGTCAGTCACAGCCGGACAAATAGGCCAGGCATGGTGACTCACGCCTATAATCTCAACACTGGATGGCAGAGGAGGTAGGATCACTTGAGGCCACTAGTTCAAGACCAGCCTGGGGAACATAGTGAGACCCTGTCTCTACAAAAAAAAAAAAAAAAAAAAAACAAAGGAATAAAATTAGCCGAGTCTGGTGGCACATGCCTGTAGTCTCAGCTACTCAGGAGGCTGAGGTGGGAGGATCCTCTGAAGCCAGGGGTTCAAGGCTGAAGTAAGCTATGATCATGCCATCGCACTCCAGTCTGGGTGACAGAGCAAGACCTTGTCTCAAAAAGACAAAACAAAAAAGGACAAATACTGTAGGATTTCACTTCTATGAGGGACCTAGAATAGTGAAATTCAGAGACGAACAAGAGGATGGTGGGGGGCCAGGAGCTGGGGAGGCAGAATGGGGAGCTAGTATTTAACAGGGACAGAGCTTCAGTTTAGGAATAAGTTCTGGAGATGGATGAAGCAGTGGCTATACAACACTGTGCAAGCACTTCATGCCACTGAACTGCACACTTAACAGGAGATAAGATGGCAAAGTTATAACATATTTCATATATATTTCACCACAACAATAAAACAGAAGAGGTGAGGAATGCTGGAGATGGTGAATACAGACAAGTCCTTGGAGGGGAGGGACCCAGTACACAAAACGGGAGTGTGGCTCCCCACCCAGAATTGGAGGAAATAGTCAATACCTGAGTGGGTGTGGGGGTGCCGAAGGGCAGGAGCCTGGTCAGAGGGCAGGGGTGACCCCTTGGAGAAGAGCACGTTTAGGCACGTTCCAGGGTTGCCACTGGGAAACACCAGCATCCCTGCTCCTTAGCAGGCAGCACACCCTTACCAAGGAGCTTGGCCCTAAGTCTCCAGAACCAGGGCAAGGGTCTGGCTGGAATACTCCCCAAGAAGAACCTGGACAGGCAGCCGGGAGGGGCAATGGCACAGGCCAATCTAGCTCTGCCGTGGCTTCAGAGCCCATCCTGGTGCCCACACCAAGGCCTTCCCCTACCCCTCAGTCCACACTCCACCTCTTCAGTGCTGCCGCTTCCGGTTTGTCTTTCGATCTTTGTCCCTCCATAAACCCTCTGCTCCCGCCATACCTGCAACTTTGAGAAACCCCACCTGCCGGCTGCTCCCAAATCTCCAGCCTGGCCCTTCCCAAGCATCCGCCAGACCTCTCCCCAGAGTGTCCAGGTCCCTCACACAGCCCCTGCCCTCCCACCAACTCTACCCATCAGGCTCCTGCAGCCTAGTGTCTCCCCAGGGTCCCCCTTTCCAACTCCTTTCCACTCAGCCAGGTCTCACTGCCTGACAGCCACCCTCTGTTAACTGTTCTCCAAATGCCCTACAAGCCGCCTGCCAAGATGTCACGGAAACACACAGAAAGCACCGGCTTCGCCAGAAGGAAACCTCACAGAGGTGTGCCCTTTGAACTGGGCCCTGAAGTAGGAGTTGGTACCGTGTACTCAGTTCCTTCACTAGGGTTAAGGGTACCACCATCAACAAGCAGTCTCTGCTTAGAGCAGCGCTAAGCTAGTTGGAGGGGGGTAAGGAAATGGACTGGTACATCCCTGGATGTGGACAGCCTGGACACTGAAGCTGCTCCAGGAAAATGCCAGTCAGCAGGCGAGCGCTGAGCATGTTTCCTGCAGGCAGCTTCCAGCCTCTGCTGGGCCCATGCTTCGGTTTCCATTTCTAGGAGCCTGTACTCCACCACCCTGTTGCTCCAACCCCCCGCTAGACAGGGTGCTCCAGAAGCAGGCCTCGTGCAGCTGTCCGTCTGTGGCCTGGCCCGGGTGTGGGTGGAATGGCAGGAGAGAGGCTGCCAGGGCCAGTAAGGGAAGAACCCGAAAGCACGCTGTTTGGACTTTAGCCTTTAGAAGCTCAGAGAAGGGCGAGTTCAGGGAGGCCCAAGGTAGCCAGGGAACACTTCCTGGAAAAGTGGAACTAGCCTTCAGCCTTGGCATAGCAACCAGAGGGTGTCAGCTGTGCGCCTGCTGCGCCCCCGACATCACCCCTCAGACTGCCTGAAAATGGATGGAACTGCTCGTGAGGCAGCTGTGCTCCGAGCATGGGGAAGGGTGACGAATGGGTCATCAGAGAAGGGAGCCACCAGTCATGGCCCAGCACCGGTGTCAACATCTTCGGGGACCTCTTCAATTCTGAGACACACCTATAACCTGCTCCCTCCACCCAGTCCTCATGCAGACACCAGGCATGGCAGAGACTTTGCAAGGCACAGGGCTGTCGGGGAAAGCAGAGGACGATGTACAATGACTGCGCTGTGGACAGGGGCCACCTTCCTCATGCCCTGCTGGAGAGCGGCACAGTACAAGGGTGTGAGCCTCAACCACTGGGTGGGAAGCCTAAGGCCCAGCCTGCAGGCTGGCCCTGTACTACACCCTGCTGGAGGGCGTCAGCAAGTCAGCGGAGTAGTCTGGCAGCAAGCACACGCCCAGCACGTTCTCAGGGCTGGAGGCAGCACAGGCATGACCCATTCACAGCCCCTCTCTGCCTAGCTCTGGCCTGGGCCAGCTCTAGGTCACTGTCAAGGACGTCTCCTCTCCCAGCTGGCATTAGTCAGAAGTCATCCTGCAAACCTTCAGGAGGGGGTGGGGCAGGGAGTGACTTGTGGCTCTCTGCCACTTTCTGTCCCAAATGTGATGAACAGGAACCTGGAGAAAGCAAATGAGTCCTCTACCCGGAAGCCCCATGGGTTTACCAAGCCTCTCGAGTTGCCAACCCTCAGGGAGATGGACAGGACAGACACTCCCGTGGTCCTAAAGTGGGGCCCGTCCCAGCCTGGGGCACAGGAGGGGCAGAAAGAGCAGGGCCTTCAGAGGCAGGTGTGAGACTGGCTTTTAGGGGGCGAAACAAATTGACAAGTTCTGGGAGAGCCACCTGGGTGCTTCGGGGAAGGAAGAAAGCAGAGTCCTTTGACGGCCTCAGTTACACACAAGCACCATGTACATGTCACAACAACCTTTATTGCCCCCAAGAGAAACTCCAGTCTGCCTGCTGCACCCAACCCTCTGGCTGGAGCAGAGAAACCAACAACAGGCAGTACAAAAAGGGGACTCAAACACTCAGGAAGCAAGCCCTATCAGAGACCCAATTATTGGTCAGGGCAGAACAATAGCAAATTCAGTCTGAACATGTGGCCATCAGGCCCCCCAGCGGTATGCCAGGAGGGGAGAAAGGGACCAAGATGACGAGCTACGAGCCCTGGAAGAGAATGGGGAAGCAGGAGGGAGTGAACCAAAGTACCGAAGTACCAGAGGGAGAGGCTGGGCTCTCGGGAAGCAGCAAGCACGTGCCAGGTGGAAGTCGGCTGCAGGCAGGGGAGGAGGAAGACTGGTTCACTCCTCCTTCTTGTCCGTGGGGCCGTCCACTGCAGCCTGGAAAGGGACAGAAATCCCACAGCAGTGCACTGGCAGACCTGCTCCACCCCTGGGATCTCCAGCCCACACCCTGGAGATCCAGCTCCACGCCCCCTCCCCTCACGACAGTGCCCAGGTGAGCAAGGGGTCACGTCCCCAGCAGCCCCCGAAGGTTTGCCAGAGTGGGAGTGTCAGCCCTTGCCTATACTCTAGGGAAGGCCAGCCAGGGAGGAGCAGCTGGGCGTTCAACACCCAAATCGGGCCCTTCTCAACTCTATGCACCCTCAAACAGGCGCCCTCAAAATTCAAGACCTGCCCGGTGCCTGCCCTTTACTAAGTGTTTGGAGTTGAACCTTCTCCTCCCCACCCACTGTGGTGGTCAAATTTGGGCCGCCAAACACCAAAGCAAGCTGTCCAAAGTTAGGAGTGTTTGCCTGGCCCTCACATCCAACTTCAAGACTGCCTGAGCTTTCCCAGGTTAGTCTGAGAACTCGGACCAGGTCTGGGGCAGCAGACGACGGCAGCAATCAGCACCTGCTGGATGAGGCAGCCTTCGATGCCTTGTCCTCCCTTGCCCAAGGATCTGCACCCACATTACCCCAAGTCCTCTGGGACACAGGCCAGCGGTGGATCCTAGAGTTTCGTCTGCTTATCTGTTCTTGATGGGACCCCAAACCATGGACTGAGGCTGGGCACAAAGGTGGGAAGGCCCAAAGCACAGTGAGCCAACGCTACCACTAAGGGCCATCCCAGCAAGTGCCTGCCATTTACTGCCAGGCCACGCCTCTCCTGCCCACAGGAAAGGCTCTGCTCTGCAAGCTCTCCTCTAGGCCCAGACTTGGTCTCAAGAGGAGGCAAGGGGGACAGTCAGTCAGCTGCCGGGCCTTCGTGCAAGGCTCCCTCCCTCCTCACAGGGGATGTCCCCTCCCACACTCCTGCTCGCCACGCAAAGCTGGAGAGGAAGGCTGACCTGCAGCTTGGCATGCTCCTCCAGCAAGCGGTCGTACTCCTTGGTGAGGCCCTCGGACTGCTTCCGCATGGCCAGAGTCTCGTTCTCAGCTTTCTCGAGTTCTGGAAGTGATGGAAATGATGCAGACAAGGAAAATCAAGGATAAAGTGATGGAAATGATGAAGACAAGGAATTAGGGGGATAGCCTCATTACCGGAAACAATGGAAACTGCCCACAAATCGATCTCAAACAAGGCTGCACAGGAGCATCTCAAAATACAGCTCCTCTACTTCTGCACCCCCCACCCCCAAAGAAAGGGGGAAGGGCTGCCACAAAAGCTAGACAAAGCACAAAAATCCAGAAGAACCCCAGTCGCTTGAATGGAGAAGAACCCTGTGGCACTTAGCAGGGGTAACCTTCAGGGAGGCTGAGGGCAGGAGGCAGGGAGCAAACTCCCAGCATCAAAGCAAGACCCCTGCTGATGACACCTTGCTGAGAGCAGCAGCAGTTCCAGCCCACGGTGCAGGGCCAAAACCTCGGGCCTAGTCTACAGATGGGAGGGAAGAGACAGGTCAGCTTAGAGCTGGCTTCGACTTTCAAAACAAAGCCACCACAAGTCCCCATCCACTCCCTTCCTGAACGCCGCTTCTGACCCCTCCTTGTTCTCAGCTCCCAGGCACCCTGGGGTGTCTGGCCTGCCTCTCATGGCAGGAAAGCCTGGCGGGCACCGCTCCAGCGCAGGGCAGTTGAAGCTACTGCCACGGCCAGCTTCTCCTGGGCCCTGCTCAAACCACGGAGTCCCACCTGGCTGCGGGCTGAGTGTGGTGGCTGGGTTAGAAGCGCAGGGGTGCCATTTGTTTGTTTTCACCCAGCCCTCAAGCCTGCGCATGAGACTTGTTACTAATACTTTGGCACAAGAGGGGCAGCAGCAGGCGGCGGAGGCTCCGGACTTCCGGCAGGGGTTGGGGGGCACACGAGGACAACCCTCACTTTGCTTAGTGCTGGCCAGCTCGTCCTTTAGCTTCTTCAGGTCAGTCTTCAGGCTCCTGTTCTCTCCCTCCAACTTCACTTCAGCGTCCCCGGCATCCAACTTGCCTCCGTCCCCAGCAGCTCCCTGGGAAAAGCGCCAAGGGCCAGGGTTAGTTGGGAGAGAACGGGGAGGGAGGCCCCAGCCCCAGCCTCCCCGCTGAGCTGCGACTCCTCAGGCGGCCCTGGGCACTCGCCCCTTGGGAAATGTCAGCACGGAACTGAGACGCTGCTTGCTCCCAGCTACCAGGCAGAGGCCAGGGCGTGGCTGCCCGCCGAGGGGGAAAGAAGGGCCAGCGGGCTACCTGCCACAGCTCACAGGCACACGCCTTGCCCACCCTGGCCCCTGGCCGTGCCTCTTCCTCAGCAGCGGGCTCAGCAGCTCCGCAGAGCTCACCACCGCATCCAGGGTGCTCCTTTCCGCTCCCCAGGTTCCAACAGCTCACCACAACCAAAGTGCCACAAATTCACCTGTCTGGCTCTACCCCACCTCTGAATCCAAACCCCTTCATCTCTTTCTGAGCTTGGCTCACACCTTACCGCCTCTGACACGTCTTCTAGGACTGGCCAGTGACCCTGTCCCTGCCTCTTCCCCAGACCAAGAAATGCAGCAGATCCCATGTCCCTAAAGGGCTGCAGCTGACAGCAATCTTCCAAAGAACAAGGGTCTACCTGAGGGTCGTCAGTACCCAGAATGGGGCCTGAGTCACTGAGGAGTCATTTTTATCACGGAAGAGTCTGACTGGAAGCGGCAGATGGAAAGAGAGAGCAACAATGCACTCCTCTCCACCAAGTCCTTGGGAGCTAGACCCTTGCACATGGACGCCTCCGGCAGGCACACCCCCCCCAATGAGAACTTCCCCTTTGTGCCTCCACCAACTCTGGTTTTAGAGGCAGCCAAAGTTTCACGAACTTCCCAGCCTGACAGGATAACAGTGGCCACTGGGGCCCCTAAAGAATGCAGCTCCCATGGCGTGGCCCCAGGGTATCCCATAGCAGCTGGGGAAGGTAGGGCTCACCTTCTTTAGCTGGTCGTTCTCCTCCATGTATTTCTTGGCCGCCTCACTAGCACTCTCTGCCTGCTTTTTAAAGGCTTCATTGGAGGCCAGCAGTGTGGCCTGCTGGGAGATGAGAGTCACCAGGCGTCTAACCAGGCTGCAAGTATTTACAAAAAGAAGGGAGAAGTGAGAAAAAGAAAGAGCAAAATGGCTGGCAGGAACCTCTCTTGGTTGCTCCCCGCCCCACATCTGCCTCCAGCCTGGACCTGCCCTCTTGCCAAGGCAGCTGAGCAAGAAGCTGCCAACCTGGCTCTGGCAACACGAGGGGCAAGGTGGGGCCCAGGAACTGTCCTGGGTTGTCACCCCCCCAAAAACAGCCCCTTCAGCTATGGGAGCTGTCTCAGGGAGGGGCTGAAAGCAGGAGCCTGGGGAAGCAGGTAGGGCCTAGCTACAGCCACAAGGGCCCGGAACACCAGCACTTTCCAGACAAGCCACGGCACTGTCTTTCTCCCTGCGAGGCCAGGCTTGCCCCCGTAAAGTAATAATACAAGCTGAGCCTTCCAACACGCCAGGCCGAGTCCTCACACCTACCTTATGAGGTCGTCACTATCGCTGCCCCTACTTTGGAAGGCAGAAAACTGAGGCTCAGTAGCGTAAAGTAACTCATGCAAGGTCAAAAGTCAGAAGGGGACGTGGCTGGAATTTCAACTCATGTCTGTCTGACTCCAAAGCCTGAACTCAGAACCACAACACTTTCTAAACAGCTCCCAGGTCCCAGCGGAAGACAGAAGGAATCTCTTCTCTGCCCGGCCTCCTTCTCAAACCCATCACACAGGCAGCTGCCAGAACACATCTGTTACGTAACAATGCCCCGATTGAGGTCTTCTTGGGCTGGAGGGTACAGAAGAAGAATCAGGGCGCAGGCACACGCTGCCCGTCTGAAGCAGCAAGGAGAGACAAACAGGTGGCAGGTAGGGGCAGATGGTGGTCTCCAAGCAGAGGGAATGACCACTTCATTTCCCTTAGTCTACCCTTGCTGGCAAGAAAGGGATCCAGTCCCGCCATGATGTTCAGAGTAAGGCAAGGTATGTGCAGGGCCCAGGGAAGGAAGAAGCAAATCTGCTTAGTCTGGAATGCATCAACAAAAGTGCCTGCTCAGAAAAGTGAAAGCAGCCCTCATGGTTTACTCCCGCCTGGCCCTACAGGCCTTCACGGCCTCTGCTCATCGCCGGCTGGAGCCCAGAGGGCCAGGAGAGTGATGAGCAGACCAGGTGAGCTACCTTCTTGGTCCAAGCCATGGCTCTTCAGGGCCCCAGCAGAGCCCCTATCAGGACACACTCAGGATAGAGGGGGCCCGAGGGGGCTGGACACACTCGGTGGTTCCTGGTTTGGGGAGAGGCTCCCAGGGGCCCCTGGCAGCACGAGGAGAGCCAGTTGATTCCTGGCAGGAGAGGAGAGTTTCCAGTGACATGTGCTCTCTAAAATTAGCGCCCAGGACCTCGTGGCCTAGGGCTCAGGTTTCCCTGCCTCAGCCCCCAGCTGCCCACCAGCCTGCCCCCCACTGGGCTGAAAACCTGAAGGTGTAGAAGGCTACTGAGTACTCTGGAAGTCAGAGAGAAGTAAAGCGCCTGACTCACATCGGCATAGCAGGAAGTCACCAGGAAGGCCTAAAGAGAAGGCAAGTCTGACTAAGCCCCAGCCCTCCAGCACAGAACAACCAGCTCTAGAGCAGAAGCCGGTGATGGTGAGGAAGAGGACCACTCTTCCCAGCTGGAAAGGGGGGCTGGGGACATGTGTGCCACCTGGTGGTAGAGATAAGGCCTGTGGAGACCACAGGACCAGCAAAGATGGGGCGGGCAAGGCCAAGGATTACACACTCCCCCCACCAGGCTGGGCAGGCGGCTGCTAGGGAGTACCCACAGCTGTCACCCTGGTTACCCAGGGAGGCCAGGTCCAGAGAGACAGCTCACACAAACTCCTCAGCGGAGGCAGCAGTAATGGCAGCGGTCACACAGCAAGAGTCCAGGAGCTCCCCTCAGGCCTCCCTTAGATCTTGAGAACAGGGTTTCCAAGATGGGTGCTGTCTGCTCAGACACCTGGTCCTGCTCGACCACAGCCTGGGCCTTCAGTTCCCAGGCTTTCCTGGCTCCTCTTCCTCTGGCCACATGCCATGGGTGCTCCCCACGCCCACAGCACCCTAATCAGTCTCCAGGGCAGCCTCCCCGCTCTGTTCTCCTCCACGCCTTTGAGGCACCCTCTCTTCTTGTTGGAGCTGAGCCTCCAACCTGTCCAAGGGTGACTCTAGATAGCTCCGCACCCCTCAGGAACCTCACCACCCCTCAACCAACTCCTTTGTGGAGTCACCATGCCCAAGTCACTCATCTTCTCCTCCCCTCCCATCTGCTCCTCAACCTATTCTGGCCAAGGTCTGCCCTCACCAAGCCACCAGCAGGACCACTGGTGACCTCCTAACTGCCTAAGCCAGGGACCGACCAACCGACCTCACACAGCCCCTTGCAGTCGTTCTGCTCCCTCTGGGCTTGGTACTCTTTAGCTGGCGCCCTATACTTTCCTTCTAGCCACTCTTAGCCCTGAAAGGGTTTGATCTGCAGCCCAGACTCTTATACACAACCGCCTACTTGACATCAGCTCCTGGAGGTCCCCAGAGACATTCCAAACTCGGCTTGTCCAAAACAGGCCTTCCCTTACCCGCCTGACCTGATCACCTTGTGTCTCCCCTGCTGTGGTGGCAGGCATGTGAGCCGCCTTGTCCTCAGTCCTCCTGCCCCCCAACCCAAGTCACAGTCCCATGCTATCCGTGGCTACTGCAAAGATGCCTGCCATATCCCTATCGCCAGTGCTCCTCTAATCCGCAGCCATACAACTTTCCCACCACCCCCAGAGCAAGCCAAATCTGGCCCATTCCTCCTCTGCTCAACCTGTGTGACGTAGTACGCAGGCCCTCTGCAAGCTGGCTCTTCTCCCTCACTCACCACGTGGTCCTTTGCTCTAACAGCACCAAACCCCTCCCTGCTCTTGGACACTCCTGGTTCTGCATGGCAGTCCTCTGCACTGGAATGTCCTTTCTACTCGGCTCGAGCCTTGCCTCCCCCACAGAGCCTTTTCTGCTCCACCCCCACCCTCGTCAGGGGGCTGTCCCTGTGAGGGCTCCCACAGCAGCCCCCTGTGCACACTCACGTGGCTGCGTTGTTCTCTCTCTGCTCTGCAAGGTTATCATCTGCTGACGCGTCTGGCTGCCCTACTAGGCTATGAACGCCTTCAGGCTGGGCACTGTGCCTTCCTCTCTAGACACATACCTGGCATGCTGAAAAGGGGTCTTCCAGAGGAACTCATCCTACTCCCAGGAGGAGCGCTCTCTAGCAGGTAAAGGGACAGGATTGAGACTGCATGTCGGGCACAGGCAGAATTTTTCTGGGTCCAGCCTGCACCTGTGTCCACATGGAATCTTGGCACCAAGTGGGGTACAGAGAGACCCAGATCTTGTCAGTGAGTCTAGCAACAGAAGAGACAGAAGACGGCAGCAGGAAGGCACTGCCTCAGACCCACGCGGATGAGCAAGCCGGGCTCGTGGCTGCAATGGAGACAGCGATTCACCACCACAAGCTGGAGGCAGACCCAAGCTCTGGCCTCAGCGTCCTCAGCCTGTCTCCACAGGGCCCCAGCAATGCAGACCAGACCCTCTCCAATGGGCTCACTGCCATCTTCCAGGCTGGGAGCCAGTCTTCAAGAATGTTTTACTGCTCCCCCCACACTGGACCACCCAGCCAGATCCCCCTCCTTGACCCCCAACAGCCCCTTCCAGGCACATTAATGGGGCCTTTCATCTGTTCCCTCCATACATCTCTATGACCCCCAGGCCAGAATGCAGACTAAGGAATACGCCTTTCTCTTCTACCTTTAACTGCACTCTCCACATCATCCCCCAAGCACTGCTACCCAGATAACAGTTCTTAGCTATACATTTATGGACAATAGGTGATAACCTAAGCCAAAAGAATTCCCTAAAGATGGAGGTAGTCAACTGCAGAATGGCCTGGGGTCCAGATTAGATGCAGCCAACGGCAGAGGGAAAAGCCAGTGAACAAAACTTAATAGACTCCAGATGTGTCCTTGGCAGACACATGTCAGCCGCAAATACCTGAATTTGACTTGGCTTTCTTGGTAGAATGTTCTTGGACACTGAGCAGGGCTATCATGCTTTCATAAAAGGTTGAGTAAACCAGAGAAGGCAGAAGAAACCGAATCCCTCTACAGGCTCTAGAGAAACAGGGCCAACCACATCAAGTGAGAAGAGACATGGCTCATAAGCACTTTTCAGCCAACCCTGTCTTCCCCCATGAGCGAGAGGAGGAGGACAGCATGGGCTTAACAGGAAGTGGGAAAGGAACAAGTCGTGATCAAAAGGTTCTGTGGTATGACTGCCCCATCCCACTCTGCTGATGGGCTCTAGGTAAGTCAGGTCATTCAGCACTCATGATACCCCTGCGGGGACAGGTTATTCACACAAGCTCGCCCCTCTGCCCCAGTGAGTGGGAAGCTGGTGTCCTAGCGCCCCCTGCTGACTCTCCAGGCCTACCACAGCCCCAGCGGCTGGAAGGAAAAAAGAGGCAGTGCCCAGGCAAGGAACCAAGGAACCAAAACAGGTGAAGCTTCAGAAAAGGTTTTGGGTGAAGTCGAATTATAAAGCCCAGGTTCCTGCTGCCCTGGGCAACTCACCCTCGAGAGTCTGAAGTTAGGAAAATAAGGAGGCAGCAAAACAGCATCGGTTAAGACTGGGAACATTACCTAGAACAGACCCAAGGAAGGTCAGCCTCAAGTCCGTTTTAGCACAGAGGTTTGGCCTTCCTTTTAGCCTTGGAGCACACAGATGTTGTAGAAAATGGAAATAGGAAAGCTCGAGTTGGAGGAAATGTAGGCCACTTCAAACGAGAACATGCCTTGCGGCAGCTACAGCCAACAGTCCAGATGGAGCCTGCCTGCTCTCAGGACGGTAATGCCAGCAAAGGGGCAAGGGTGGGTCCAGCTCATCTTCCCTTCTTCAGCTAAAGAGAACTAGTGACATGGACAAGTTGTGTTTCTGGGGCTTTGTCGTGCTTGTTTCTTGAAACCAGCTATCTGAGAGGGTTTCATAAACCA